TTCCTCTCGGTACTCCGGTTTCCTCCCACAGTCCATTGTCCCGTAGCATCCAGGGTTGTGCAGGCTACATTGGTTAGCCATGGGAAATGTGGGGTTACAGGGATAGGGGTGGGTCTAGTCGGGATGCTTTTCGGAGGGTCAGTGCAGACTCAATGGGCCGAATGGCGTCTTTCTGCACTGTAGGGATTCTGCAATTCCATGTTGGTGCCCACTATACAACACTGGGGTTCTTTGAAGCAAGCAGTGAGCTGAATCCACCAGGTACCTGCTCTGACTTTCACATTGAGAATTATGGACATTCAACGTCTTCAGTGTACTGACAAAGATTGGAAGCTGAATATTAACAAGGCAAGTTGTGGCATGAATAAAAGGATGTTTAATGAGCAATACTGCTCCTCAATTGGGGACTCATTGCTGTTAAGTGGCAAACTCCCCTCACTGTTCAGCAAGTGCATGAAGATAATTCTGACGTTGAGATAAGCCTCGCTGGACATCTTGTCCCAGTCTGTCACAAATCCTGCCACAGACCACTTCGTAATGTCTCGGCTTTTAAAGCCTAGAATCCCATCTGCTTTTGTAATCGGTTTCTGAACCTGCTTTACTACATTCAGCAGCTTGGGGATATATTCCCTCAAATTGCTCATCCAGAGCCTGCTGACAGCTATCATGTTCCGTCTACCTCACATCCCTCTGACACCTGCTGCAATATCTGTGCTAATGTTCTGTCTCAGACAGTGTTGGTATGAGATGCCACGTTGTTTCTAATCAATTATCCTTCAAACTGTAGCTAACAGAGCCAAGTTTGGAGGTCATGCTGATGTTTTACGCATTCATGTTGGTGGTTTTTAACTAGCCCCTGGTCTGGGTACAGTGCCATCGTGATAGTATAAATGATAACCTTTTCTTCCAAGTTGTCTTAGACCCTTATCTACACATAGCAGTGGCCCTGATCGACAAGTAGGGATGCTTGTAGTGTCCTCCAATGAGTTTGGCAGCTCTTTGCAGTTAATGTTTTAAGTGTAAAATTTATTTTGAATAAGGCAGCTGTCGATTAGTCTGAATAAAACTATGCTCCTTTTTTTATGCTAGTAATTTATTTTGAATTCATTGACAGGACGAGGGCATCATGGGCTAGTCCAGCATTTATTATCCATCCCAGAGGCCAGTTAAGCGTCAATCACATTGCTGTGGGTTTGCAGTCATGTGTTGGCCTGGCCAGGTAAGGATGGTAGGTTCCTTATCAAATGAACATTTAGTTTGTGCAAAAGTTAAGATTGACTGACAGATTAGAACATTGTTTTTTACAGCTGAGGCAGCCATGTTAGCATAGCAAGTGTGCAAATCTAATTCTCGTTCACCGAAATAAAAATAAGACCCAAATCGACCACTCAGCCTTGATGCTATGTGTATTGCCTTGCCCGTGAAGAATTTAGCAGCTAACCTTTTTGCAATGTTTCAGCCAAGACTTCTGAGTCCAACGGCAGTGGTGACCTCAATCAGTGCAGCCATTTTCCTGGCTGGGTTGTGGGTTGGGGTTGAGGGGGGAGTGTGGGAGGACACACCTGCTTTTTGCATCATCAATAGCCATATCCGGGTACAATTCTAAATGACAAATCTTTTCATTTTGCACTTATCAGGACAATTAGCAAGAAATGCCAATTTAAAACGGGATAAGAACACTTTATACTGTTTGGTGTGTGAAACATAGGAGCATATGAACAGGCTATTCAGCCCCTTAAGCCTGCTCTATAGGTACGTCTATAGGTATGTCAGGAATAAAAGAATGACTAGAGTAAGATTAGGGCCGGTCAAGGACAGTAGTGGGAAGTTGTGCGTGGAGTCCGAAGAGATAGGAGAAGTGCTAAATGAATATTTTTCGTCAGTATTCACACAGGAAAAAGACAATGTAGTTGAGAAGAATACTGAGATACAGGCTATTAGACTGGACGGGATTGAGGTTCATAAGGAGGAGGTGTTAGCAATTCTGGAAGGTGTGAAAATAGATAAGTCCCCTGGGCCGGATGGGATTTATCCTAGGATTCTCTGGGAAGCTAGAGAGGAGATTGCAGAGCCTTTCGCTTTGATCTTTATGTCACCATTGTCTTCAGGAATAGTGCCAGAAGACTGGAGACTAGCAAATGTTGTCCCCTTGTTCAAGAAGGGGAGTAGAGACAACCCTGGTAATTATAGACCAGTGAGCCTTACTTCGGTTGTGGGTAAAGTGTTGGAAAGGATTATAAGAGATAGGATTTATAATCATCTAGAAAGGAATAATTTGATTAGGGATAGTCAACACGGTTTTGTGAAGGGTAGGTCGTGCCTCACAAACCTTATTGTGCTCTTTGAGAAGGTGACCAAACAGGTGGATGAGGGTAAAGCGGTTGATGTGGTGTATATGGATTTCAGTAAAGCGTTTGATAAGGTTCCCCATGGTAGGCTATTGCAGAAAATACGGAGGCATGGGATTGAGGGTGATTTAGCGGTTTGGATCAGAAATTGGCTAGCTGTAAGAAGACAGAGGGTGGTGGTTGATGGGAAATGTTCATCCTGGAGTTCAGTTACTAGTGGTGTATCTCAAGGATCTGTTTTGGGGCCACTGCTGTTTGTCATTTTCATAAATGACCTGGATGAGGGCGTAGAAGGATGGGTTAGTAAATTTGAGGATGACACCAAAGTCGGTGGAGTTGTGGATAGTGCGGAAGGATGTTGCAGGTTACAGAGGGACATAGATAAGCTGCAGAGCTGGGCTGAGAGGTGGCAAATGGAGTTTAATGTGGAAAAGTGTGAGGTGATTCACTTTGGAAGGAGTAACAGGAATACAGAGTACTGGGCTAATGGTAAGATTCTTGGTAGTGTGGATGAGCAGAGAGATCTCGGTGTCCATGTGCATAGATCACTGAAAGTTGCCACCCAGGTGGATAGCGTTGTTAAGAAGGCGTACGGTATGTTAGGTTTTATTGGTAGAGGGATTGAGTTTTGGAGCCATGAGGTCATGTTGCAGCTGTACAAAACTCTGGTGCGACCGCACTTGGAGTATTGCGTACAGTTCTGGTCACCGCATTATAGGAAGGATGTGGAAGCATTGGAAAGGGTGCAGAGGAGATTTATCAGGATGTTGCCTGGTATGGAGGGAAGGTCTTATGAGGAAAGGCTGAGGGTCTTGAGGCTGTTTTCGTTAGAGAGAAGAAGGTTAAGAGGTGACTTGATAGAGACATACAAGATGATCAGAGGATTAGATAGGGTGGACAGTGGGAGCCTTTTTCCTCGGATGGTGATGGCTAGCACGAGGGGACATAGCTTTAAATTGAGGGGTGATAGATATAGGACAGATGTCAGAGGTAGGTTCTTTACTCAGAGAGTCGTAAGGGCGTGGAATGCCCTGCCTGCAAAAGTAGTAGACTCGCCAACTTTAAGGGCACTTAAGTCGTCATTGGATAAACATATGGATGCTAATGGAATAGTTTAGGTTAGATGGGCTTCAGATTGGTTTCACAGGTTGGCGCAACATCGAGGGCCAAAGGGCCTGTACTGCGCTGTAATGTTCTATGTTCTATGTTCTATGCTCCACCATTCAGTGAGATCATGGTTGATCCATGGCCCAACTCCATACATCTGCCCTTTGGCCCATATCCTTTAATACCTCTGATTGGTACAGATGCTGCCATGGAGAATGTGCCAGCTCGAGGAGAGATGCCAAACAAAACACTTCAGCAAACTATGCCTTTTTTCAGCAATAGTCATCCTTGCTTAATGGCGCAAGTCTTACATTTCTATAGGTTTCAGGTCCTTCAGTGGGTTGAGTGGACGAGTGGGTGAGAAAGTAGAGCAGTGGGTGAGAGAAAATGTCGTTAAATAGATGGGGAGTAGTTGGATGTTTCAAGGCAGCTATGATGGGAGACAGAGAGTGAGAGAAGACAGAAAAAGAGCGAGAGAGAGACAAATAATGAGAGATAGAGAGAGGGGTCAGGAAAGGGGATGGTGTGGGAATGTTAGGTTGGGATGGAGCGGAAGTGAGAGTGTCAATATTAAAGCCAATCCCATTGGAAACCGAAGAGAGTGGCGAAACTTTTGATTGGTGAGATTTGACACTTCTGGATTGACTACCACAGATAAATCTGGGACGACTCAGATGTCATTATTGTGGTTTAAACAATATTACAACATGATAGCAACATGTCTGCAGATCTCCACCGAATAAAGACACTCCCTGAATTAATCCAGGAAGAGTGAGGCAAGGGAATAGGGAGGTGGTTAAGCTTTGGCACCTGGTGGATGAAAAGCATTGTGAAGTCATGCAAGTGAGAATTCTACAATAGGAGAGTGGACAACGGATGCAAGTTAGGTACAGGAAGAAAAAAATAAAGAAATTATGATGTGGACAAGAGGAAAAAATAAGTTGCAAGCTCTACTCAGTGCTTTAAATGACTTCCCTTGCATTCCCGCTCAGAGAATGAATTCAGAGAATTTACCAAGTTCGATCACTGATCCACAAGACGGATCAGCTTTTGAATTGAGCAACGAGGCAAGAAAATTGTAAACAACTGCAAAAGAAAAGAATAAATAAAGCAAGATTCAGGATCACATATCAAATCAAACTAAAGCCTGATTAAAATTGCTGTTTGTCGCTGTAACCTTAACATTATAGTTTGCAACATGCAAGGTTGTGAAATTTTCGGCTACTTCATTTCCAAATGCTGCTCTTACCCTCTTGTCGATCACAATCATTTACTGCCAATACAATATGCTGTAGGCAAACATTAGTCCAAAAACTACTCCAAAAAGATGACTTAGAACATGAAGTTGTTGTTATCTTGACTCAGTTCCTATTACACTATATAAATTTTTATTTGAAATGTACAGACATGCTACTACCTGACACAACCCTAGGCTATAGACTAATATTGACATCAGACATTTATTGAGCACCTAACTGTCTAAAGAAACAAACGTTTGCTCACAAATGAACAGGACAATTCTCCAGTTGTGCCAGTATATCTTACCTTCGCAGTACTCATGGACTTCCCAGCAAGAATTCGAAATGTTGTTGCAGGATTTAGCACATCCTGCTTATGTTGCCATCTTGTTGTACTTGTAGGTGACGGTTTGAACCTAAGGAACAACAAGCAGTTGTTTGACAGGACCGGAAAATCCAGTTCTGTCACATTGCTTTCTTACCTCCCCTCATTAGCTTACTATTTTGTAGGGGATCCAATTACAGTGCAAGCACAATGCCAGTTTGCCAAACATATCACATACCAGCAGCACCTATATCTGTTTGTGCCTGTCTGCTAGGCTGCTCAGCCTTCATAACTTGATCTCAATTACCAATGTACGTTAATGTGACGATTTACTCAGAGATAACTCTTCCAATACTGCATTATGAAAGTCAGATATCTAAAAGTATAAAATACAAGGGCTTTAGACTTGTACTCCAGGCTTTTTACAGATTTATGTGTGTGTTCTTATAAATGCTAATTTTACTTTCACAATTTATTGCAAAAGTTTAATTGTTCATGTGAGGGTGTTATGGAAAGGGTCCAGTGATGAGGTGGCAGGTTCATCAAGGCAAACAAATTAGGGATGAGAGATAGTAGGAACTGCAGATGCTGGAGAATCCGAGACAACAAGGT